CACCTGGGAGCACATCAGGTTTTCCGGGCACCATTAAAAAGGATTTCCGGAACTGCTTTAAAAGTGGCAAGAACGGGCTGGCCAGATAGCTCAGTGGACTAAACCACCTGCTTAGGCAAAGTGCAGTGACTGGGGTTCAACCCTGAGTTTGCTGTGCTGGCCCCGCCCCCAGGGCGCTCTAAGAGATTGAGATTGGGCATGGTGGTGCGCACCTGCAATCCCAGTGCTTGGGAGGTTGAAAACAGGAGAATCTCTGTAAGTCTGATCTGTATAGTGAGACCCTGTACTAAATACATTAAAAAAAAAAAAACACCTTTAAAATAAAAGTAGCCAGAATGATGAAATAAGGGTGTGCACAGCAAGGGAGAGAATTTTGGGGGCGAGTTCATGGTAATATGTGATTTACTGTAGTGCACCTTTGAAAAAACTTACACACTTGCTATAGCTTCTGATCACACCATGCAGGCTTTCGAGGAACCTGGAACGTCTTGGAGACGAGTACAGCAGCTCCAGGCGTGGAGGCAGTGTGCAAAGCCAGGAGCATGCGCGGGCAGCCCCGGAGTCGAGGTGAGAAAACCTCTGTTGGCGCCTCATCAGAACGAGCACCGAATGGAAGCATCCAGGAGGATTGTCTTGACACCACCAAAAACCCCAAAAAGTCAAGGTGGAAACAAATTATTCTTTACAGAAAACTCCTGGCTAACAAATGCAGAAGCATTATGGAGACAGCAAATCCCTGTTTTACAATCACTGCAGCAAAAACAGTCAATAAAACCCTTTGTGGCTTTCAAAGATAGTAGGTGAAAGATTATTTAGGAAAAATATTTGCATAGTCACAAGATTTCACCCGATATATTATCAATTTGAGAGAAACTTTTACTGTAGAAAAATCTGGCAGAAACTGCCTTAATCCGACAACTGATTTTAACATTTGCAGTAGTGAAGAGGACATGCACCCCAGGCTGCGGGGCCCTGACCACCTGGTCGTCTGGGTGCTGCTCCTGTCCAAAACATTTCACCTGAACTGGATCCTAAAGAAGCAACTGGACAAGTAAAAACAGAGAGGAATTCTGCACAAACAACTGGCCTAAACTTTTTGAAACAGCAATGTTATAAAAGAAAAAAGGAAGGAAGGAAGGAAGGAAGGAAGGAAGGAAGGAAGGAAGGAAGGAAGGAGCAGAGATAGGAGAAAACTTTCTAAATTTCTAAACTAGAGACAAAAAATGTGTAACAACTAAATGTAATGACTCACCCTTTACTCCGCCCTGTATTTTTAAAAAACAAAGCTTTAAAGAATAATTGGGTGATGACAGCAATTGATAATGAATAGACAAAAAATAAGCAAATAGCTTTGTTCTCAGGAGATACAAGGAGAAATATTTAGGCTTGAGGGACTAGGTTGTTTGCCAAGGGCTGGAAGCAAGAGAAATAGAGAAGTGAAAGATTTAAATGTCTAAACCAAGTGCTCATTGCCCATAACACACTGTCCATAATAAAAAAATGAATGAGGGAAAACCATAAAATAGGATAAGATATTTCAGTATAGAAAAGCACACAGATTACTCCGGGAGGCAGAGATAGGAGGACTGCAAGTTCAAATCTGGTCTGGATAATCTGGCAATTTATCAGGGTCCTACACCATAATACAAAATAGTCACTGTCCTGGTTTCAGTTCATTCCCCAGTATTGGACCCAAAATAAGGGCAGATTAATAGAAAATGAAGAGAAGAACTCTTCTCCATTGCTCGGGAATGTAAACTAGTGCAACCACTCTGGAAATCAGAATGGTGATTCCTTAATAAACTAAAACTAGAATTCCATTTAACCAACCTATTCCCCTTGAAGATATTTCCCTCAAAGAGTTGAAGATATATTGCAATGATATGTGCCTACCTGTGTTTATAGCAGCGCAGTTCATAATAGCTAAATCCTGGAAGAAGCCCATATGTCATTAACATCTAGATGAATGGATAAAGAAAATATGGTATTAGCCCACAATCAGGTATTTATCTGCTGTAAAGAAAGATAACTTGAGTCATTTGTAGAAGGATTGGTATGCCTTGACACCACACTTAAATGAAATAGATGAAACACACAACTCTGGTTTCTCTTCAGAGCATATAGATGAAACACACAACCTTAAACATAATGTGAGTTTTCTGATATGAGAGACCCAAACTATAAATTAAGAGTGAAATACAATATAATATGGAAGCATGGAGATAGAGCTCTTCAGATGGGAAGAGGGCCAAGAGACAGAGGGAGAGGGCAACCAAGAGGGAAAAGAAATACATGAAGGAATTGAGATGTGCATTATGTATCTATAACAACTCCATACAAAGAAGGTGAACATTATGTACTGCAAACATATACTTTTTTAAAAAATTATGCAGTTCAGGTCATCAGTGAACCAGTTCTAAGTGCAGTAAAGTTCTAAATGTGTTGTTTGAGACTAGGCAGCCCAGGCTGGCCTTGAACGCACAGCGATCCTTCTATCTCAGTGTCACCTGGGATTACAGGCATGCACCACCACATCTGCCTAAGTTTTAAATGTGAGTGATAAGAAATTATTCTCTAAGGATATGATAAAGTAAAAATATCTCCACGTAGTCTTGAGGATAGTGAACGCTTTTTTCAAAGATTTTTCTTAATTGACAGTTTTAAGGGAAAAACTGATAAATACAGTTGCATGAAAGTTAAGATTTTTTTTTTTTTTTTTTTTTTTTTTTTGTATCAGGATCAAATTTGGGACATTGAGCTTGCTGGGCAGGCCTTATACTACCAAACTATCTCCTGAGCCTCAAGTTAAGAATTTCTGGAAAGACACCATGAAAAAGAGTGAAAGGCAGCCATGTGTGGTGTCATAAAATGTGACAAGATATTTCAGAATAGAAAAGCACACAGACTACTCTGGGAGGTAGAGACAGGACGATTGCAAGTTCAAGTCTGGCCTGGATAACCTGGCAAGTTAGCAGGGTCCTGTGCCAAAATAGAAAATAAGAACTGAGTGGGGATTCAATTCAATGGAAAGGTCCTGGATTCAATTCAGTCTCCAGTACTGGACCCAAAACAAGGACAGATTAATAGAAAACAAAAAGCTAGACAAATAACAAACATATTAAAAGTATTCACCAACTTTATTTGAAAATTAGGGGATAAAAATGATAATAAAATATCATTTACACATCTACTAGTGTCTACCAGTTTTGCAAAAGCTAAAATCTCACAATGCCATGTGTAGAAGAGGTGAACCAACGAGAACTCTGACAAGCTCTATGGGTGGAATAAAGTTGTCTGAGCATTGTGAGTGATCGGTGATCAATAAAAACTGAAAACATGTATACACAGTGCAACTTCAGCCATGTCTGTCCAATTCCTGCATGCAAGCATTTGGGAAGCAGAGCAAGAATGACCAAAGCAGCACTGCTGCTGCTAACCCCAAACTCAAAGCACTCGAAGGTCTATCCACAAAGAGTAGTTAAATAAAGTGTGGACACTAAAGAGCAACGAAAACAGGGACACTATATGTGAATGGGCTTCACAAAAATAATACAGAACAGAACAATTTCCTAAAGGATACCTGAGCTGTATTTCATTATAGATGGTCTAGAAACAGGTAGCACTAACATTTACATCACTTGAGCATCCACACATCGATCATAATGCTATAAAGAAAGAAAGTGAGTAAATGTGAATTCACTTTTATTATTTTCCTGGGGAAGAAAGGAAAGAAGTGAAGCTGGGGAGAACTTTGGAGGGCAGTTCGGAGACACTGTCAATGTTTTAGCTTATGACGGTTGATGAGTGTTTGCTTTATTATTAAAAAGACACCTAAGGAGACCAGGGAGGTGGCTCAGTAGAATAAGCACTTCCCTGACAAGCACAAGGGCCTGAATTCAATCCCTGGTTCTGCCAATAAATAAATAAATAAAATTTAAAAAGACACATACATTATTTCAAATATTTGTTTGTTTATTTATTTGGTGCTGGGTCTCACTACACAGCTCAGGCTCAGTGATTGCTCCTCCTGTTTCAATCTCCCCAGCCATGGGATTTTAGGTGTGTGTCCCACACCTGGTTGCAGTGGCCAGCAGAGCACCCAGGATTCCCTGGTCAGCACTGCATGGGGTATAGGGGAGCAAACCTGGGTCCCTGCACTTGCTAGGCAGGTGCTTAGACCGATGAGCTATCGCCTCAGCCCCATACATACATATTTTAAATATTCTTATGCATGTGCAGTTCACAACTTAAAACAAAAACAAATTTTAAAATAGTGACTCTTTACTTTCAGTCAAGATGAAATAACAGCAATCAGATTTATTCTACTGTCTGAAACAACTAGAAAAATGGACAAAATCCAGGAAACAATAGTTTTCAAGCCTTGAACATGAAAACAAAAATGAAGGCTAGTGGTGCCAGAGATGCATAACAGGAGACCAATGTGGCTTGAGTTCACAAGACAAATTGTCTGAGAAAAAGAACTTCCAGGACAGAGTTCCAGATATGTGCAGAGTCTCCTTCAAGAATTCACCAGTTCTGGTGATCCCATGCAAAAGGAGACAACCCAAGTTGGAGAGATGAACAGTAGGAAAAATCAAAAGGAAAAGTACTGAACCATGGGGAAGTCATGCCAGAGTAATATGTGTTCAGTGACTTCCGTGTATCACACAAGTCAACACATGTATCTTGTCTACACTGTTACCTATAAGATAGATACTGTCTTTATTTTACAGCAAAAAGAAGCTGCGGCCTCAAACACTAATAGCTTTTACAGGATAATCCTGCTAGTAAATATCGACTGCTGGATTGAAGATCAAGTCACCTGAAGAGAAAGCTCATGTCCTTTGCAGATCACTGTACTCTCTCCTTACGGCATAGTTGTGATGGACACACTCAAGAGGATCAGCTTGTCTTCACTTAATTACTGGTTAAAGATCACCTTGCTTCCTCACCGAACAATTACTTGATGGTTGTGCCCAACGTTTAACACGCGTGTCTTCGTATTTACCTGGCAGGGGAGGTACGGTGATCACCAAGGTGGTTTGCCCAGGAGGGGCGTGTCCACTCCATCTGTGTACGCTGATCCCCGTGATTTCTCAAATGTGGGAAACTTGACTGCATAATTTGTGGTAGAGGGGACTGAGTTTGTGCTTTGCCCTGAAAAAAAAAAAGAAATGAAATGAAATATATGTCTTCATTAAATCTTAAATGTGATGTAGCTTTCCTTCATCCTTTAATTCAAAGTCAACTTTCTTTAGAGAAAGGCAAGAGTTTCACTTTATTCATCTAACTTTATTCACCTAACTTTATTCACTGAATGCCTACAGTTTACCAAAATAAACATCATGCAATATTTAAAATATCTGGCTGTTTTTAATACTTTTCTATCTTTAAAAGTGTTAGTAAAATCCAGGAGCCTTAATAAACCATACTTGAACTCTGTATCATATAACATCTATGTAGAAAACCCTAAAGACTCCACCAAAAAAGCTGTTGAAACTAATAAACGAATTTGGTAAATTTGCAGAATACAAAATCAGTTGTGAGGTTGGCAAGATAACTCAGAGGACTAAGCGCCTGCTTAGGCAAGCACAGGGATTGGGAGTCAATCCCTGGCACCACATGCTGTGCTGGCCCCAGCCCTGGGCATGCTGAGCCAGCCACTGAGTCTGGGCATAGTGGCACACACCTGTAATCCCAGTGCTGGGGAAGCTAAAAATAGGAGGATCACTATGAGTCCTAGCTGTGTAGTGAGTAGTGAGACCATATACCATATATATATATATATATATATATATATATATATATATATATATATCATATACCATATATCATATACCATATACCATATACCATATATATACCGTATACCATATATATATTATATATAATATATATATAGTGCTTCTGTACTATATATATATATATATATATCATATACCATATACCATATATATACCGTATACCATATATATATATAATATATATATAATATATATATATATATAGTGCTTCTGTACACTAATAATCTATTTAAAAAGGAAATTAAGAAAACAACCTCATCTGCAATAGCACAAAAAAGAATAAAATAGTTACGGGTATACTTAAGGAATGTGAAAGATTTGTATACTGAAAATTATTATGGAACATTGATGAAAAAAATTAAAGATAAAAATAACTGGAAAGGCATGACATGTACATGAACTGGAGGACTTAATATGGTTAAACTCCCAAACTCCTCAAAGTAACCTACAGATTCAGTGGGATCCCTACCAAGATCCCTACTGGCATTTTTTACAGAAATAGAAAAAAAAAATCCTAAAATTCACAAGGAATTACAAAAGACCCCAAGCAACCAAAACAATCTTGAGGGACAAAAACAAATTTGGAGGCCTAACATGCCCTAATGTCAAAATGCATTACGAAGGTTGGGGAAATAGCTCAGTGGCATAAGCTCTTGCCTGGCAATTTTAAGGTCTTGAGTTCTATCCCCAGTACCACAAAAAAACAAAACAAAACAAAAAGCATTACATACAAAGCTGCAACAATTAAAACAGTATGGTACTGGAATAAAAATAGACAAAACGACAGAACAGAGCCTAGAACCCAGAAATAAGCCCAGACCTCCATGGTGAACTGACTTTTGGCCAAGAACACAGGACGGGGGAAAGGATAGTTTTTAGAGTTTTTCAGCAAGCAGCATTGGGGGCCCTGGATGACCACACAAAAGAATGAAATAGGACTTTTTGTTATATCATACACAAAATTCACCTCAACATGAATGACAAACTTAAACAAAAGAAACTGTAAAACTTTTAGAAGGAAACATAGAAACTCCATGACAATGGGCCAGGCAATGATTTCTTCCTCATTATTCCAGAAGTACAGGCAACAAAAGCAGAAATTGGTCAAATGTAATAGCATTAAACTAAAAAAAACTTCTGCACAGCAAAGGAAACAAGTGAGGGAAAAGTATATCTCTAGACAAAATGTGCACAAACAATATGCGTGTATCTCTTAGGGATTAAATCTCCAACTTAGATACTCAATGGTGGAAAACAGAACACAACATTCACTTATTAAAAATGTCAGAGACCAGAACTGGAGATACACAAAAAGGTATACAAAAAGATGCTAAGTATCACTAATCATGAGAGAAATGAACTCAAAAGCACCAGGAGATATCACTACACACCTAAATGGGATGGCTGGACCAAAATGAAGAAGATAACAATGTTAATGAGAATATGGAATTGGAACTCTCACATCATTGGGAGGGACATACAATGGTGCAGCCACTGTGGGAAACAAAGGTTCCTCAAAGAAATAAAAATATTTATCAAATGGCCCAGCAACCTATTCCTGAACATGAATCAAAAGAATTAAATTCAGCCTCTTAACAAGATATTTGCAGTTCCTATAGTTTTCTTATCCTCATTCACCATAGCCCAGATACAGAAACAAGGTAGATGTCTACTGATAAAAGGATGGATAAAGAAAAAGTGCTAAATACATACAATAATGTGGTATTCAATCTTTTAAAAAAGAGGAGATCCTGCAATGTTCAACAACATGGGTGTCTTGAGGATATGCCGAGTGAAATAAATCAATCACAGCAAGACAACAAGATCAACTTACTCCTGGTACTTAAAACAGACTCACCTGTAGAAGCTAGAGTCAGATGTTGGTTTGCCAGGGCTTGGGTGGGGGAGAGAAATATGGGAGCAGATGCTCAACAGATACTACAAAGTTTTAGTGATACAAAATGACCAATTCTTGAGATATTGTACAACATTGTGCTAAAATTTTGTTTAAAAGGGTAAATCTCATGTGAAATGTTTTGGGTGGTGGTGGTGGTTTTTTGTATTTTAGGGAAAGGTCTACAGGGTGTTCAGGGTCTCACTACTAGATCCGCCTTTTACAGCCTCCCAAGAGCAGGGATTACAGGTGTGTGCCACCACACCCAGTCTTAATTGCTATCTCAGCATGCCCCAGGGTTGGGGGGGCAGCATGGCAGTCTTGGGGATCGAACCCTAGACCCCTATGCCTACTTGCAGGTGCTTTAATCAGTTGAGTTTTTTGGCTGGCCCTAAATGTGAGGTGCCTTTTTGTTGTTGTTGTTTGTTGTATTTAGGACAAGGTGTACAGGGTATACAAGGTCTCACTGTGTAGATGGAATCGTAGTGGTCTTCCTGCTTTACAGCCTCCCAAGTTCTGGGATTACAGGCACACTCCACCATGCCCAGTCTCAATGTCTCAGTGTGCCCCAAGGGGGGGGGGGCGTGGCATGACAGACCTGGGGATTGAACTCCCCCACCCTGCGTCTAGGCAGACACTTTAATCCACTGAGCTATTTGGCTGGCCACATGTGAAATGTTTTTATTACAACAAAAATAAACAAATAAATTAGAATCTCAATGGTAGGTTTAAACCAATGTTTATTCAAAAATCTTTCAACTTTTCTATACACTGAAATCTTTTTTATTAAAATGCTAGCAATAAAAATGTCAGTGATTCTCGAAGCATTGTCATCTGAGATCTCCTTAAAAATGCCAAGCTCCAAATGGATGTGCCGGCCCAGGCCTGCAGTTCAGAGCTCTTGGGAGGGTGAGGCAGGAGTGTTAGAAGTTCAAGCCCTGCCTGGGCCACCCATTTAGCAGCCTTGTGAATCTCTGTCTCAGAACAGAAAATAAAAACAGCTGGGGATGTACCCAGCGGGAAGGCCTTGGGTTCAATCTCCAGTACTAAAGGAAAATCAGAAATTCTGGCTACAAAACCAAACAACGCAAATCGGAAGCACACTCCACTTGGAGAACTCTGTAAGTATGGTGGATTCACCACGACTCCTCCTCCCCCAGAAAGTGAGTACTTTCATCTGCTTGAAAAAGGCTTCCCCTCTTCTCAGACCTAAAGAAACTAACTCCAGTTTTCCCATCCTCTGGAAAAAACAGCCATCTCCCCCACCTCCCACCTCATCCCAGCACAGGATATTCACATTGTTTCTTAAAAGAAAAATAAATAAATACAGAAAATCAAATCAAAACTTCAAACCAACCACAAAAACACTTGGTGTGTGTTTGGACATTACGTGAGTAAACACATCACATGTTTATTTTACTGTTTTAGCTTAAAATTGGCACTAAAGGAACTATAACATATATTCAGGCTGACAATAAGGAAGCTAAATCCATTGTTAAACTCTGGAAAATAGTAAAAATTCTCCCACATCCTGCTTCTGCCTGGTTATCTGCTACAGAATTACAACACTGGATCTAATCAGTTAGTATAATTGCTTTCCATTAAAAATTGTTCGCCAGAGGTTATGTCCTCACGGTTCTTGAGATACTGCTTGGGACAGATGAAAGCGCTGACCCTTATTCCCAGGGGCGTTCCGTGCTTCTGGCTTAGCTCTCCCTGGGAGAAAAACTGAAAACTTTCTTGGTACCAAGCCATGCTCCCATCTGGGATAAAGATTACCAAAGAGGAAGGGAGCTTTTGTTCAGATTACAAATGCCAGATGCTGCCACGTTAATCGTGCTGCCGAGCCCAGGGTGTTCACTTCAAACATGTGGCCTACAAACCCTTGTCTCCACAGAATGTGCTGGTGAGCGGGGGAGTCACAGAGGAGGAGTCCATTGCTGTCACCAGCACTTACTCCACGATTGCCGCTGAGAGACTGAAGGGGGACTTCTGGACTTCATTATGTTTTATCAGCTTTCACAGAGCGCGAAATGCTTCCCAGACTGAAGACTCCACAGCCAAGAGAGCCATGAGAATGGCCAAAGAGATCTTTACATTGACTCAAGACAAGAGGATATAAACCACCATCAGCACAGGCATTTGCACCTTATAGTAACGACTTACAGAAAGACTCTGTTATTGTAAATAAAGGGCTCTTTGATTCTTTTGCTTGCAAAATCTAACTAAAGACAAAATGGGCATGGCTGATGTGCAAAAGAAAGTAGTAAAAGAAAAACTGAGGGAGTGAAAACAGAAGAAAGAAGACAGAATAGTTGAAGAGAATGTGGAAAGGGAAAACAGTGAAGAAGGGAAAAGATTTATTTTATTTTGAAGAGTAAAAACAAAACCAAAAACAAATAGAAACAAAGACAGAAATAGGGTAACATACAACAATACACGTATTACAGATTTTCAAAACAA